ATTTTTTTGTCAAAACAATGTGGGTGGGTGGGTCGCTGGCCGGGTCGCGTAAGGGTCGCGGGCGGGTTACGGGGTGGGTCGCGGGGCGGGTCGCGGGTGGGTTGCGGGGTGGGTCGCGGGGTGGTCGCGGGGGGGACGACGACAACAACAAAAACAACAACAACAACAACAAGCCTAATCCCCACCACGTATCCCCTCTTCAGCCACGCATCCAGGAACAATGAATGACCGCTCGCCCCCTCACTCTGATAACTCCGAACGGGTGTGCAATGTGTTCTAACATAGGGTCTCCCGTACGGTCTCCCGCATGAGGTAGGGACAATAGAATGGCAAACGTTGTGGGCCCCTCAAGGCTTTTCATAAGGATTATGCGTCGTCGTGTGTGCGCGGTGTTCCTTCTGTGTGTATTCATTCGTCGCGTACCGATGCGCATAGCATGGCATGTCATGACATAGCATAGCGGGGCAAGGCCTTGCTGGTCCTTCTTGCAATAATGAGTTGAACCCATGTTTTCGTGGAGAGGTCGAGCCCGAAACCGAACATCAGGAACAAACGAAAAACTAAAAAAAACAAAACCAAACAAACAACAAGAAACCGTTGATATTCAAAGAACAAGTCAGTACAACAATCAAAACAATCCCTTGGATTCAATGTGTTTTTTTGTTTCTGGTGTAAAACCAACGGTTTCTTTGAGGGTGTACGCGTGTTCTGGACTTCCTGGTTTTATGTGTTTCTTTTTTTTTCTGTTTGCAATGTCCTTTCCGTTCCCTTACAGCCTCTGTATGTTCGAAACAGAAAATGGGAAAACAACAAAAACCGCGAACCATAAGAGAAACCATTGTTTTCAAATGGAAACAAACTACATAACGAATCTTGTGTTTGGTGTTCTACTTCTCTTCAAAAAAAGTCTCACACGGTTCAATTGAACTGTTTATGTGTGTATGTGTGCCTTCAGCTTGTCAAGTTTTTGTTGCAAAAAAAAAGGATGGCGCTTTCCCATACAACCGTATTAGGTACGATATCCTTCCTCATAGTTTCTCAGTTTCTACGTCGTATTCCCCGCCCCTCTCTGTCTCCCCCCTCCTTCCTCCCCCCATCATCCATCCCCTCCTGATCAGGATCATGGTTTATTATTGTCGCTTTGCCTTCCACTACTGTAATACACATTGTAATTCCCTTGGGTTGCAACTTGATGCAATGTCCTGCGCGACGGTGCCGCCTCTCCGGCGCAATCGGGAACAATCGCTTGCGTAGCTTTCCCCGAGAAGCCGACTCGCCTCGGAGTGGTATCCCTGCGGCAGAGCACGGCCCGCGAACCCCGTAGCCATTGTAGCCCGAGCGGAGGCGCGTCTGCATACAGCACTGTTTTGCGATGGCTGTCGTAAAGCGTGCACACGAACACTGCATCAAAAAACTGGTGGCCATTGAACAGACCAATATTTTGCCATTCTATCCGTATATGTACCGTGCATTTAAGAATGTATTGTTTATGGGATTGTGCAGTGCTGATGACACGTTGGCAACAAAAGGCCGTGCGAACATGGATTGAAAGAGGCGCGGACGCGGGGAGCAGCGTTCCAGCTTAATCTCCAGCACGGCGTACAAAAACTATTTGAAGCTACGTTGGCAAAGACATCGCGCACTGGCGACCACATTCTTGGGAAGTTAGTTGAATCATTCGCCTGGTTGCTTGAACCCACCATATCCGATGTTTCAAACAACTGGATGCCGCGTGAAGACAGCTTCTCGAAAAGAGACAGTCATACTATCTGTTTGATGCGGGAATATTCCAATGAGGGCATGCGCGCTCCTACGTGTTTCCCTGTGTTGGTTGCTACCGATGCGTCCATGACGGACGAGGATGAGGGGACGACGACCACGCCGTATAAATCAACCCACGATTGTGCAACAGAGCGACCAATCGTTGGTACATTGCAACTCTTGTCAAAAGATTATGTTCAGAAGTGGGCGGCCAAACATTTACATATGTGCGTTGCAACCATGGGATCACATCCTCGGACGGGTTACCAAAAGCCCCCCGTTGAAGACACCACCAAAGAAGCTGACAGCGCGGTTGCCGTAGTTGCGAATATGTATGGAAACTTGTCGGGGCGGCTTGGTCAAACGAAGCCCATCATGCAAACATCAGCCAACATGCCCTTTCGTTGCCTTGAGTTCCAGGCGCATCAGGTAGGGCTGGATCTTGCGTGGTTCGATGCATACTGCGGGTAACGACGCGAGGGACATTTTACTCGGCATCAGGTAACTGGGCCAGGCATGCTGCCTCTGGGATTGCGGCTCCCCCCGTGAACTATGTATAAGGTAACGCGGAAGTCACAAGGTGGAGATGGTGCGAAACCGAAAAGCAAAACGGCGCAAAAAGGCCGCGTCGCAGGAGCAGCGATATGCCGGCACGCTCTGCAGAACGTTGGCGCAAGATGCCACTGCCGCTGCATTCCAGCGCGATGCGCTGCGACGTGCAATTGATGCGTGCGGCTTCGCCCAAATGGCTGGGCTCGCTGCAGGCACGAGGAAAGGAAACGCGATCGCCAGTTTGGTAACAGCATACAATGCTGAGGAATACCTCTGATGCGAGCTAGATCGCAGTCCCAACTTGCCACAGTTGCGAATAACAAAGCCAACGAAATTATTAACCGATCAAGTGCATGATGTGCACGCACAGAAGATCAAAGACATGAAGGAGTGCGTTGTCGCCGTGCTTTTTGATGCTGCCGCAGCTGAGTTTCAGGAAGACGTGGCAGAGTGAAACACCATCGCCGATGTGGCTATCACGTATATCTTCGCCCTAGCAGCATCCTTACACATTGCATATCAGATCGTTCCCGTTGTCGTTTCTATATACTATTCCTCTCGTCTCCCGTTTCTGTTATGTCTCATCACGTTTCTCACTCTCGCACTGTATCCCTTCGTATTTTCTTACTCCTTCCCTTCCACATCTTACGCACTTGTGTTTGCAAGCGTATATAAGCATATACATATCTATGTGTAAAGACTAGACGGCCGTCCTTCTCCACCCAGCCCTCATCTCTCGTTCGCCATCCCCACCAACGTCAACACCAACATGGTCACCATTGCCGTCGTCTTTGTCATCGTCATCGTGACCATCATCATACTCATCATTGCTATCACGATCACATAATCACATTAGTCTTACCGTCGATATCGGCCGCACCCCCCCCCCCCCAAAAAAAAAACATCCTGTTAGCCTGCTCTCCTACAGTATGCTGTCCCGTGTGATTTTCCGTGTGGCCTCTCTTATAGTTTCCCGCGTACTCTCAATCATGGTCGCCCATATGATTTCCCGTCTGCCTTCCCCTTCTCCCGTATAGCTTCTGGTCTGCTCTTCTAGGAGGCCCCAAGTAGGCTTCAAAAGACCCCAAGAGGGTCAACACGAATTGACCTTTCGAGCCATCCACGCCAAGATGACCCCGAGATGCCCACAGAGGCGCCCCCAAGAGGCACCCGGGAGGCTCCCAAGAGGCGCCAAAGAGGCCCCAAGAGGTACACATTGAGCCCCCAAGAGGCCCCACCGAGCCCTCAAAGACCCCGAGAGGCATCTCAAGAGACCCTAATGTGCATCCGAATGGCTTCTCACCCAGAACCCGCGCACGATGGCGGGATAGGCTGAAGGCCGCTAGATGTATGTTGCTCCCATCGCACTGAAGGACCACATCCCAGAAATAATTTCGAGCACCTGGAAAAGTGTCGAAACAGTGTCGAAACAATGTCGAGCGAGTGTCTCCCAGGGCCAGACACGTGAAAACCTCGAAAATTGGTTATTTGTCCCAGTGCTCGGAATACTTTCTGGTGGTCCAGGCTACAGTAGGCTGGAACATCATAACGCTAGGTGCAAGATCACTAGATGTCCCGACCTCTTCCCAGGGATTGCTTTCCGTCGCGGATCGTCATTGAACGGCCTAAGGGCCCGACAGCAGCCCCCGAAAAGAACACGATGCACAGAGACGCCGTCTTGGAGAGTTGCGTCGGTATGCTTTGCGCGTCTAGCTTTCTTGTTTGCATTGCTTGTCAAAGGGAAGTCAAGTTCTCACGGTCCCGCTGGTAGGGCGACGAGATCTATACATATCCACTGCTCCTGGCCAGGCCCATCCTGGGCCCAGGAGCTGTGTATATGCCTCCCTGGCCAGGCCAGGAGGGCGTATGCACCGCTCCTGGGCCCAGGATTGGCCTGGCCAGGAGCAGTGGATCTGTATAGATCTCGTCGCCCTAGCTGGAACAACAAATCTTGGACCTGGGGGACCTTCTCCAGGACTAGCGTTCATCTTTGACGGTCGCCGGGCTAGGGGAAGGCCCCGGGAGGCCGAAGACACCCAAACGTGCGGGCAATACTTCAGTATATATCCACTGCAGCTTCAAGTTTCGGGCTCCCTCCCCCAGAAACCCGAGGCGCACTGGATATTGATAAAATCCTGCCCCATTGAGGCTCGATATTTATCCATATCCAGTGCGCCTGAGCCTCGTGGCGCCCCTTCCAAGGCAGCCCACGACGCACTGGATATGCACAGAAGTCTTGCCTGCAGAACGCAAACAAAGGCTCCAGGACTTGCTTCCCTCCGGGGCCCCTTTCGTTTGCGGCGAGTGGTCAGGTCTGGGGGTCTGGGCAGCCTCCGGCCTCGGCAGTCGCACCGACTGAGTATCGTTTAACCGATGCCCATCCCCAGCGCCGTGGCCTGGGCCACACTGGCAGATTAACCCCCCTAGACCATAGATGGGGATATAGGCCGTTCCCTTCGGGTTTCGAGGAGTGTATCCCCAACTGGGGGGGTAATCTGGTGGGGGTCTCGAAGGGGATGGGGATGGGGATGGGGATCGGTTAAATGATACCGACCGACAGCGACGCCGCGCAAAGGGGACCGCAGCCGACGGCACGAGAGCAGCCCCGGAGCACGCGGCGGCGCGGCAGCCGACCGAACCGAACCGACCACGACGCGGCCGATCGAGCCGCCGACGCCCTCCGCGGCCTCCACCACGTCTGGCCGCCGGACCAGCGTCTTCAGCTCCGCCACGGACATCCGCGAGGTGATTCTGCGCTTCTTCGTCGACAACTTGCCCTTGTCGCCGTCCTCGTCGTCCTCGCTGTCCTCGGCCTGGGCGTCGGAGTCGTCGTCGTCGTCGTCGTCGTCGTCGGGCGCTGGCGTCGGTCGGTCGTCGGTCGTCGGTCGTCGTCGGTCCTCGGTCGTCGGCGGTCGGTCGTCGTCGTCATCGTAGTCGTCGTCGTTGTCGCCGCCGCCGCCGTCGTCGCCGTCGTCGTCGTTGTCGCTGTCGTCGAGGGTCGAAGATCCTGACTTGGGGGCGTGATTTGCACTTGGGTACCAGGGAGCCTCTGGAAGAACTCCCTCCAGGGACCTCTGTACACGTCGGTCGGAAGAAGTAGGTAGAAGCCTGAAGTAGGAAGGCGGATTAAGTTGATTCGGGTCCAGGCCCCCCCAGGGAATAACAAAACACAGCAAAAGCGTGTCGATTCTTGAGGTAGGAAGGCGCTTGAAGCAGATTGGGATCTGGAAACCTACTTTCAACGATCGGCGTGTAGGCCTCCAGGGGCCTCCGGCGGAGGATGAGCAGGCAGGAGAGGCGAGGAAGAGATACCCTCGGATGCGGGCGCCGTGACAACCACGACGGGTGATTTCCGACCGGCCTCGGGACACGGGGCCCAGGAGGATGAGAAGGAGGAGGAGAAGGAGGAGGGGGAGGAGGAAGAGGAGGAGGGGGAGGAGGAGAAGGAGGAGGAGGAGGAAGAGGAGAAGGAGGAGGAGGAGGAGGAAAAGGGGGAGGAGGGGGAGGAGGAGGAGGAGGAGAAAAAGAAAGAAAAGGATGGAGGAAACAGAGGAGGAGGAGGAAGGCGGCGGAGAAGGCGGAGGAGAAGGCGGAAGAGGAAGGAGGGGCGCGGAGGGATGGGGAGGGCCGAGACAGAGAGGAAGAGCTAAGCAGGCGGGAGGCCAAGAGAGCGAGACACGACCTCAGCGGACCATCGTCGGCCTCCTGACTCTGCCAGCTCACGCATGCAGAAAAAGAAAGGCCTGGCGAAGGACCCAACCATACTCAATTGTGAGTATCGTCGTTAAGAGTGTCACGCTCGCTGGATCTCCTTCTGGGGCCACGAAGCGCGTGAAGGGTGTGCCAGAATGGGGCGGGACTGCCATGCGGGCGTTGCCAACGGGGCCGTAGTCCCTATGGGCCTGTGGGGTCACCGTGCATCTGAGGGGCGTGTGCCGAAACAGGTGGCGGGGAAGCATGCGGGCTGCGCAACTTCGGCCTTCGGCGGGGCTCCCCATGGAGCCACGAATCGTGTGAGGGCTGTGCCGACATGGGTGGATGGGACGCATGCGGGCTGCACCTCTGGGGTTTGGTGGAGCTCCCCGTGGGGCCACGAAACGTAGGAGGGTGTGCCAACAATCATGATGACGATAATGGTGATGATGACGTGACGCCAATGATTATGATGTAATGGCGATGATGGCGATGATGATTGTGGTAGGGAGCCAAACAATGACAGAAACATGAAAACTCGGATCGGATCTGCGTTGGACCCCCCTCGCTGGCGCGCGGAGCGCGGCAGCGGCGGCGCCAGAGGCGCTGACAGGGGGCTTCAGCGCCGACACGAGAAGTCCGCGCGGACCTCCGGTTTGTTATGTTTATGCCATTGTTCGTTCCCCGACGCGGGGAGGGAGGAAAGGGGAGGGAGGAAAGGGGAGGGAGGAAAGGGGAGGGAGGAAAGGGGAGGGGGAAAGGGAACGCGGGGCGTCGCCTCTTCAGAGCGAAGACCTAACAGGAATGAGGAGCGGGAGGCGGGCGGAGGAGGGAAAACCATGAGGAGGTGAACGAGGAAAGGGAGGAGCAGGAACAGAAGGATGAGGGAGGAGGAAAGGAAAGATGTTTTGAGCACGGCCGCCGCGCTGCATGCTTGAAGCACACTGGAACTGTCAGAACGCAAAGTGGTTCCAGTCGCTTTGGGGTGGAGTCCCCTGCCTATTCCGTTCCAGCTGGCCTGAGTGCACTTGCTCTTGGCATTCGTTTTCTTATTCGGCGTTCCGACATTGGGCGAAAGGGGGGAGGGGTCCCGGCTCCGGACCTCTGCTCAGTGTAACTGTCTGCAGCAGTGCGTCCATTATGGGGAAGAATGCACGTGCTCGAAACAGGCGCCAGAAACAGCCAAGATATACTCCATGTGGGGGGGAGGGGTGCGAGGGCCCGAGCCGATCGGCAAAATAATGCATACAAAAATCTAACACTTGCCCGTTCGAAGGTCGTTATGAGGGCCTGTACACTGCTCGCCCAACTCGGCCAGGCGAGCTCCAGACGAATGGCATGTGCATGTTGTGCGCACGACGACGAGTGAGTCACTGGAGCAGTCCCACAAAACGCACTTGTGGTTGAGGCCGCTCACAGTTTGGGCAGTGGCACGGATCCTGGGGGGGAGGCCTGCTTGCCGTGTCTTGGAGGGGGCTCGACGTGGCCCTCGTTTCAACAGGAGCGCAAACATTAGGTCGGGCATGTCCCCTACAGGCGGATCTGGGAAGCATAAATAATCAAAGATATACCAAACAGTACCAACAATACTTGAATGTTCCCCATACTATGCTTGACGAATGTTGAATTTATCCTGTAGGGGGACGTGCCCAACTTAACGCAACACACAACGGACACTGGCAGAGACGCTGGGACCCATGTCGGCGGCCCCATCCCCAATTACCGACGGGGCAGGGCGGCCTCTGGAGGAACCTTTACACGATTAGAATTTAATCGGGCATTCCCTCTACAGGAAGATAATGGGAGAAACATTAAGAATAGCCAGCCATATTCAAAAATGGTCAAACGATCCCCCGACTATGTCTGATTTTTCTGTTTGAATATTCCTCCTGTAGAGGGGCGTGCCCGACTAACGATGATAATGCCGTTCCACCCCCGACAAGTCGGTGCGGGGCCAGAGGGGCCAAAGTGAGGCAGCAACGCGCGCGACGCACTGAGCGCACTGGACAGTTCGGCCGACGGAGGCGATCCTCTCCTCAGAGGGCTGGGGATGCATGCCGGCTCCAAGCTGCGCTGCTCGGTCGGCCGCGTCGTTCCCGAAACGCATCGTCGAGGGCCAGATGTCAGGACCATCGAGGGCCAGGTGCGCGTGAGGACCCTTCATAGAGAGGAGGAAAGAGAGGAGGAGAGAGGAGCAACTGGGGAGGAGGAGCAAGGAGAAAGGAGGAGCCGCGGCCAGAGGAGCAAGGAGGGGGGGAGGAGGGCAATCTGATTCGCCTAGGAGACGGTCAGCTGAGTGCGGCACTCACTAGCTGCTGGCAGAACACGCGGTATCTAGCAGCACGGGCGCCAAGGTGTACATGCTCCGCCCGACCACACCAGGAGCGACGAAAATCGGAGGGGAGCGGGGAACCCACGACCTCCACCTCCCTCCATCGACCTCCCTCCCTCCCTCCTTCGACCTCCATCCCCTTCCCTCCACTCCCTCCCTCCCTTCCTCCACCATCCTTCCCTCCCTCCCCTCGACCTCCACCTTCCACACCTTCAGGACGGCAGGTGCCGCGCAGCGGCCGTCGCTAGCGCGGCCGCGGCGGCGGCCACCGTCGAGGCCGCAGCGCCAGTCTCGGCGGTCGCCGCGGCCGCGCGGAAGGTTCGGAAGGTGGAGGTCGAGGAAGGCATGGAGGGAGGGAGGGAGGTCGAGGGAGGGAGAGAAAAAGGTGGAGGTCGGGGGAGGGAGGGAAGGCGGAGGTCGAGAGAGGGACCCCAGACCTCTACCTTCTGGTGCGGAAGGTGCAGGTCGAGGGCAGGGAAGGAAGGAGGGTGGAGAGAGGGAAGGTGGAAGGAGGGAGGGAGGAGAGGAGGGAGGGAGGGAAGGCGGAGGGAGGGAAGGCGGAGGGAGGGAGGTCGAGGGAGGGAGGGAGGTCGAGGGAGGGAAGGTGGAGGGAGGGAGGGGAGGAGGGAGAGAGGAACAAAAAGGTTGATGGAGAGAGATCGAGGGAGAAAAAATAGAGGGGGGAGGAAAAAGGGAAAGAGGGGAGGGGAGGTCGAGGGAGGGGATGTCGGAGGGAAGAGCGCACAGGAGCGGGGCGGAGAGGGGGGGGGCGCCCAACGGCGAGCGGGCGCGCCTCCTCGAGGAGCGAGGCCTTGGGCTTGGCGCGCTTCTTGGGCTTCTCCTCGTCGTCCTCCTCCTCCGGGCAGCGGGCGGCGACGGCGATGGCGACGGCGACGACGACGGCGGCGGCGGCGGCGACGTCGACGACGACGGCGGCGGCGGCGGCAGCGACGACGACGGCGGCGGCGACGACGACGACAGTCGCTTCTTGGCGCCCTCTTGGGGCGCTCGTGGTGTGTTATTGGGCGCTCTTGGGGCCATTTGTCGGCCGTCATGGAGCCTTTTGGGGGGTGCTCTTGGGCCATCTTGGGGCCATTTTGGGGCTTCGGCAGGATATCCTTAACGCAAGCATGAGAAGGCAGAAAACATGTCAGTGGCGAGATCCCACCTCAAGCGAAGTGCCAAGCATGCAGTGAGAAGGGTGGCTCCACCGAAAGGCGCAAAGCACCCGCAACGATCTACAAATCGCGTGTTCCTTGGCACCGCGCGCCCACACGTCATCACCAGAACCCAGAACCCGATGGCTGTCCCGACGGTGTCCGCCAGCAGTACATCACTTAGTGGCACGACAAGTCCCAACAGTAGAATGTTTTCAGCCCCCTCAGAGCACGGCGGAACCGTTCCCACGGCGCTAAAATTGTTGTTATGACTGTGGTCACGATGGTTGTCCCGAGACATTGAAAGTGCAACCTAGATCAACTGTGAAGGGAAAGCGGCTGGGGTGTGAATCGATATGAAGTTCCCGGTGTGTGTGTGTGTGTGTGTGTGTCCACTTGTGAGTTGAATTGTGCGCCCAGTGCGTATAAAATATGCCACCACCCCCGACATCCTTACCACCCAAAGGAAGACTATGTGACTATGTGGAAATCCCGCTGTGCATACGGGAAGTTCGAGCCTTAACTGCAACAGGTCAGATCCGCGTGCCGCCTCTTCCAGGGCGACCATGGCGGAAAACATGGGGTTTGGGACGTTGCTCGTTGCGGCAGGCTTCGTGGAAGCAGCAGCGTGGCAGCCGCCGTCGGCCAAACGAGTGTGCCATCGGAACTACGGCCTTTGCACGGTTTCTTGCAAAGGATGGTGTGTGGGGGGGATTGGCACTGCACACATTAGGCGATATGTCGCCCTCCCCCCTCTGTCGCTTTAAGAAACCAATGCGTAGTGATGAAAGGGCGCCCGCGCATGATCCAGACTTTTGGTGCAACGATCACTTCGTTTCGCTTTTGTTGCAAAGGGGTGTGGTGTCTGTGTGCGTGTCGGCGTTGCACACAGACAATATGCAGGGCTCTCGCCGTCCCTGTAAGCAATCACCAATGCAAAGTGATGGCGGGGGTGCACGCGCATGATCCAGATGTTGGTGCAAAGAGGCCCCCAAAGAGATTCCCAAAGAGGCGCCCGAGGGGCCCCCCAGAGGCTCCGAAGCCCCGAAACTGCCCCCGAGAGCGCTCCCAAGAAACCCCAAGAGGCGCCCCTGAGGACTCTGACCGGCAACCAAGGCACGGTGGCGCAGAAGGCCATTCGATCCGCCGCCCCCTGTTGGCTTGCCACAGGGGAGCCTGGCGTGCTAAGCCCTATAAGGCGTGGCAGTGGTTCGTTTGTCCAATAGAACTCCCCCTGGGGCTTCGGCCCAGCGTGCAGGCCACACGCGAAAGGCTTGCCAAGAGGTGGCTGCAACACTCTTTCCCGCTCCAGATGGCTCCAGAATGGCCCAAGATGGCCTCCAAGACGGCCAAGATGGCCCTCAAATTCGCCCAAGATGGTCCAAGATGGCCTCCAAGACGGCCCAAGAGCGACCGAGATGCCTCCAAGATATTCCAAGACGGCCCAAGGTGGCCTCAAGAAGACGGAAGCCGGCCCAAGAGGTCCCCAAGAGGGCTCCAAGACGGCCCAAGAGGTCCCCAAGAGGGCCCCAAGAGGGCCTCCAGGAAGGCCCGAAGAGGCCAAAATCATGGATTGCCCTCCGGTGCTTGAAAGATTCTAGCACTTGTTTCGTTTCGGCACTCCGCCGGCCAGACACGGCCCAAGAGCCCCCCAAAGATCGCCCCAAGATCGTCCAACATAGGGGGCAAACAAACCTACCTCGCTTTTGACCACCCTCGCTTCCAAGAGATACCAAGCGATGCCAAACTACGGCCTGTACTGGTCAGGCCGCTTGACGAGGAGGCGCGTGGTATGACTTGGTTTTGCCTGGAAGCGAAAGCGGGGTAGGTAATTCACGCTCTGACAACAGGCCTCCAAGATGGCCCCAGAACGGCCCAAGAGGCGCCCAAGAGGGCCCCAAGACGGCCCCAAGACGGCCCAAGAGGCCTCCAGGACGCCCAGGGTGGCCTCCAAGACGGCCCTGGAGCACCCCAAGAGGGCCCCGCGTCGGCCCACAAAGGGCACCCAGGACGGCTTCCGATGGCGTCCTGCGGGCCAGGAGCCACCTGAGACGGGCAACGAGGCCCCCGAGAAGCCCCCAAAGCCCCTCAAGAGGCCCAAGGAGGCCCCAGAGATGCCTCCAGGAGGCTCCAAGGAAGCTCCCAGGAGGTCCCAAGAGTGCCCCCAGAGGCTCCCAAGGTGCATCCTCCTCCTCCTCATCCTCTTCGTTCCCCGAAGAGTTTCCACAACGGCTGGGGAACACTGGGTCCGAAAGCTTGACAGAGCTCTTGCCAAAACGCTCGGTCACATCGGCGATTCCAAAAGGTAGGGGGCGGCGTTCATTCACCGTCGGCGTCTTCGATACTTGCGGAAGAAACGAACTATAGAACCTCACAGGCAGGCCGTTTCGGAAACAGCTAGATCCTCGACCTAAAAGGGCGACGTCGGACACTCCGGAGGTGCGCGGAGGTTCCACCAATGCCGGGAGCCCGAGGAGGCGAAGGTGAAAGGCGAGGAGGATGAGGAAAAGAAGGAGGAGACGGAGGATCATGTTAAAACGCGCTGAAGACAGACTCCGAGCAGCAAGCGGAACAGGCGCTGCAAAGGTCAAAATGACCACTCCCGGCGGTTGGCCTAGCCATCCGCCGCAGGGCGATTGTTGTGCGTGGCAGTACTCGGGAGCACTGCCAGGGAGGCCAGACACCCCTCACAAGCCTTCCCTTGCTCGTTGAACTGAAGTCAGAGAGGTGTGCCGATCAGGATGCACCCAATGACAGCCTTCCCACTAGAAGTCGTGACAGCAACCCCCGATGCGGCGAGGAGTATAAAGTCAGGGCACTACGCCTACACTCCCTGGGTCGGCTGCCACGGACCGCCGTCACGGCACACTTGCGTCTGCTGGAGGCCCCCTCTACCTCCTTGCTCTTGATGCCCTCCGCCGCCCCTGGGGAAAGACGGCCGTCGACAGATACTGCCAGGATCAAGTTACCCCTGGCCGCCACGAGGAGGCTTGCAGTCCGAGGTTTCGGCCAGGTCCGAGCAGCAAGCCGCAACAGGGCCTGCCATCCAAAGAGAAGGCCCCTGCGAAGATGTGCAAGCACGGCCAAGCAGCACCTCTGCCTTGGCCTGTCTGGGGCGCCACGCTGGCCCATTCAACCCACCCAGCCCCTCCACCAACCTCCACCGGCGAACGAAGGACCCCGCTGCAGAGAGCTCCTCCGTCTCAGCGGGGCACCGCTGGTCGCTGGAGAAGGCCAGCGAACGATCCCTCGCGAGGAGGGCGCAGCGCGAGGCTGCCTGAGGCATCAGCGCGATTGTTAGCCGCCCCCCCTCCGCCCGGAAAAATCGAAAACTATACCTGGAAGCCCCGGATGGCGAGCGAGGGTCCTGGTCGTGGGTCTGGTATACTAAACTCGCTCGGTGGGGTGTGGTTCTTGTGTGGTCTGACTTGGGCGGGGAGGGTATGGTATACAGAACATATTCAGGATCCCCCCCCAAAGGCGTCCTCCTTCTTCGCCTCGGGCGCCACGTACTTGAAACGCTCCATCACCGCGGCGAAAGCCTCGTCCTGGGCTGCCACTGCGGCGGAACGAGCGGGCCCAAAGCTGGGGCCTCCCAAGCTGAGCGGCGACCACACCGTGTGGTAAGTCGGTGGGCATTGGGGGTCTCATGTGATTTCGCAGGTTTTCGGGCATTGTCGTTCCTTATTGGAAATTACCTCGCCTCGCGATGCTTCCCAGCAGCTGCGCCTCGTCGAGCGCGCTCTGGAGGTGCCAGGATCGTCCTGAACGGCCGCCAGAGACCCGAAGGGAATCTCCATGTTCTCGATACCGAGCTATCATCCGCATGGTCGTGCCCTCACGTCTTCCATCACCATCATCCTGCGTCCCTCCAAATCATCGTCCTCGCACGCACTTTTTCTCTCACGTCCCTCCTGACCATCGTCCTGCGTCCCTCACCATCTAGCTTCCCCCTACTCTTCCTCGCACGAACTGTTTCTCCTCCACCCTCCACCTCCACTGATGATTCCTCCTCCTCCTCCAACCTGTCGCACCTCCACAAATCTCCATGCTTAGGCCGGACTTGGCATGTCGCTTGATCCGCCACAGTACCTCTCGGCTCACTGAGGTCTGGTAACATGCTAATTGCTGCCTGGTACACATGACAGATCGAAGACTCACCCCCGCCAGCCCCCTGGCCAACCTCGACCAACCCTTCTCGGCAACGCCATGCGAGCCCTGGAAGCGACCGGGCACACTCGGATTGAGCTCTTCAGTATCCACGCTGGCAGCGCGATGGCCATCGAGTGCGAGCGGGCACGTTTGGAGTGCGCCTCTTGGCAAAATCCTTGGCAACAATACTGGCACGCTCGGAAAGAGCGTCCTGCCGACAGCGCTGGCCTTGCGATATGCTGACTACCTACCAGACCACCCCAACCCAACCCGAAGACCCGAATTTCGGGTTGGGGGGGGGACGGGCTTCATATGTGTTTTCTCAATGTTTCCCGACACCCCCCCCCACGGAAAATCAAGGATAAATCAGGGCCTTCGGGTTGGGTTGGGGTGGTTTGGTGGGTGGTGAGCAAGACCCTCGGCAACAGTACTCGCGCGCTCGGAAAGAGCTTCCTGCCGACAGCGCTGGCAGTGCGACATGCGATGCCAGCGAGCCGACCTGCTCGGAACGCGGGTCCTGCCAGCAGCGCTGGCAGCGCGAAGCGTACCGGAAGCGAGCCGGCACGCTCGCGACGCCTCGGGCCGATTGGATACCAACGGGCAAGCCAACCAAGCACTGAGGAGCGCGACGGCACGAAACCATCGGCCTACAGTCCGGGCGTTGACCCAAGGAACCCTAAGTAAGGAACGAGGCCCCTTTTCCCCATAAGTCCAACCTCGATTTCCGGTGGAAAACCTCAGGAAAACCCGAGGCAAATTCTGAAACAATCAAGGAACACCGAGCCCCTTCCCCAACGAAAAGGGTTCCTTCTTCAGGGCCCCGACTGTATGGCGAGGTGGCACCAGCCCACTGGCAACGCAAGTCCTGGCTGAAGCAACATACACGACCGTCGATGGAAGAACGCACAGACCGTAATCAATTCGATACTGGAATCGTTCGATTCAAAGGTCGAACCACACGGGTTTCGAGGTGGAGGAGTGAGGAGAAGGAGAATGATGAGGAGGAGGAGGAGGAGAAAGCTTTAGCAACATTTGCGGAGCCGATGTAATGGCTTTCGTGACCTAGGGGGGAGGGGGGTCAACATGTGTTGATCATCAAGTGTGAACTAACTACAGACGGACCTAGGCCAGAAGAACATCCCTCAAGAACATGAGACCCTCCGTCGGCCAAATGAAGAGCATTCGAGGATACCCTCCCCAAGGACGCACAACACGAAGACCATTAGGGTACCCTTGTCGATTCGACCTCGTTCTTTTAACTCTGAAATACCACTCCAGACGGTGGCTCTACAAAGGTACTGGCACGCTCGGAAGGCGTCACAAATAGACCTGAGCAAGTAATGTGTTTGGAATGTGTACAAATAGGTGGACACGCTCCCCCGTGAAATACAGAATCATGGAAAAGCCTAAGAGTATTCAGGAGTAGAGAAGGGAAGCTTGGAGAGTACGTTGTGACGCCGCTCTAGTCTCAAGTTGGTGGCTGCATCCCATCTCCGAGCCAAGACTGGGAGGAGTCTTTTTCATGCTGCTCAGCAGTCGAAGAAACGGCAGGATGAACGGCGAGCAGATAGAAAAAAGACACGCGCGTGTGCCCGGAGTGGTGACGAGCTCCCGACTCCGGGCCAAAGCGAGACGCGCGATTTCCCTTCTCGCGCTGCCCCTGGATTGTCGAGAAGACGTTGCTGAGATAACACCCGCGTGCCTGCTCTGCGCGGTGACGAGCTCCCGACTCTGGGCCCCACAAAGGCGGGTGATCCCTACGCGTCATGCCCCCCTACCAATGAAAATCCGCCGTGCCTCTTGGCACGTGGTGGGCGTGTCCTCAGGTCATTCGCCAAATCCTTTAAGCATCAGCCCCCAATGCTAAGGAGGCCCAAGGGGCCCGGAGCCCAAATTGCCAAATCTCACGGGGTTTGTCGCGGCTTGTCGGGAGCTTCGCGCAGCTTGTCAGGGGTTCCAAGACGGGCCAAGAGGACCCCGAGAGGCTCCCAATTCGGTCCAGGAGGGCTCCGAGGCGCCCCAATTTAGCATCAAGACGCCCAATCAGGCCCCAAGACAGCCCAAGAGGCCTCCGAAAGACCGCGAGAGAGCCCCAAGAGCCTCCCCAAGAGGGCCCCGAGCTTGGGCCGCCTTGGGTCTCTCTTGCAGGGTCAGGAAGCCCTTTTAAATCGTCTTGGAAAGGGTTTTCGGTAGTCTTGGACGCCCAGAAGGCTGAATAACCGAGTACCCCACAATCATACAATACAACAACCCATTGGAAATAAACCTGTTTGGCATTTCGCCTCTTGGGGGTGATATTGGGCCGTCTTCGGGCGTCTGGCGGGGGTCCAGGGACGCTGGAGGACATCTTGGACCGTCTTCGGGGTCTCTTGGGACCGCCGCAGGCTCGCTTGCATGGCGTGGCAGGGACTCCCAGAGGCCCAGAAATCTCGCGGGATCCGTGCAGGAACCCCAGACGCCCAGGATCCCGTTCCCGGGGGGCGGGAATGGCGGGGGATAGGGGTCTTCCGCACCCCCAGGATCAAGACACATGTAGATGAAAGGGAGTATGTGTGCAGCGTGTGTCGAATCGGCGTGTCTGTACAGTCTTCACACACCACTCGGTTGCGCAAGCACGAATGGTCTAGGTTGACTGCATTTCAGGCGCGCTGCATCGGTAAAATCCGAGGGTTCTCTTATTCATGTCACTCGCGCCTCCAACGCCGTGGTCCTAGAGCGAGCCCGACGGGTCAAGGTCAGCGACCTTGTGTTGCAACGGCACTAGGTACTGTTCGGAGATGTTGCACGCCAAGGTAACGAGTGTCCGTAAGGAAACCGTTGTTCCAGCCTTCTCCGACTTGACGCGCCAGCCCAGCCACCGCAAGAGAGGAAGGGCCCCAGCAAGCGTGGGAATCAGAGTTGCACAAACATGCGCAGTACACGTATCAAAACCCCACCAGCCCTTTGGGCGTGAGTGGTTTAGAGAGCTCTCTCTGTTCTCAACCCCCCAACCCCCCTTCTTCCCCTTCGGGGAGGGGTTTACCCCTCCCCCTACCCCCTCTCCCTGGGCCTGGAGAGGGATGGCCGAGCGTCGTCAGGGGGGTCGTTTTCGACTCCTTGGAGGGCTAAAAAACGACGACCCTCACGAGGATTCTGGCCCCGACGGGGGGACGGAGTTTGGCCCCTCTGCTCTTCTTTGAAGCCAAAAACATTGATTTTACAACGGTTTCGGCCCCATTTTGGCCTTCTGAGGGGGCCGCGCTCATCTTCCTTCATAGCAAAATCATTGGTTTTACGAAGGTTGTGGGCTCATTTTGTCCTTCTCAGGGGGCAGCGCTCATTTGCGCTTCTGAGGAGGTCGCAACAGGCCCCAAGATGGTCCCAAGAGGCCCCCAGGAGGCTCCCAAGAGGCCTCGAAGAGGCCCCCAAGAGGCCCCCAAGAGGCCCCCAAGAGGCCCCAAGAGGCCCCAAGAGGCCCCCAAGCGGCCCCCAAGAGGCCCCCAAGAGGCCCCCAAGAGGCCCCAAGAGGCTCCAAGATGCCCCCAAGAGGCCCCACGAGGAGCCCGAACGACTCACACCAGGACGAGGGGCCCGAACGACTCACACCACGAAGAGCCCGAACGACTCACACCACAAGGAGGGGCCAGAACGACTCACACCAGGACGAGGCGCCCGAACGACTCACACCACGAGGAGCCCGAACGACTCACACCACGGCGCGGGCCCCGAACGACTCACACCACGAGGAGCCCGAACGAGTTACACCAGGAGGAGGGGCCCGAACGACTCACACCAGGATGAGGGGCCCGAACAACTCACACCACGAGAAGCCCGAACGACTCACACCAGGACGAAGAGCCCGAACGACTCACACCACGAAGAGCCCGAACGACTCACACCAGGAAGAAGGGCCCGAACGACTCACACCAGGACGAAAAACCCCAAACGACTCAAATCACGAGGAGCGCGTTCTCTCCCTCCTCTTCCGCCTCGTCCTTCTCCCGCTCCCACCACAAGGAGGATGTACAAGGAGGCGGGAGGAAGGAAGAACAGGGGACATATGCGGGGCCAAGCGGACACACGCCTGAAAAACACGACTGTCGGCATGCTTCGCAAGAGTTGCCGCTGTGAGATGGGCTGGTGGGGATACGCGAAGCGTAAAGAATTCTGGTTGCGCGACACACAACATGCGCATATTTCCAGCGGAAGCCTGGACAACAACAGCGCGCAAACAACCCTTTATCGCACACGGGTGCCATTGCTCATGTGCCTAGGGATGCGCGGCTTCATTATTTAATCACCAGGAGGTTGCCATATGGGAAACTGTCGCCACGTCCGAGGGTTGCCAGGAGGGCCAGCGCAGTGACGCCCTACGCGGACCTAGGTTAGACCTCACCATTCATGGAAGGGCTGTCGCCATTTGGGAGGGATGCTGGGCCCAGCGCAGTGCGGGCATACGATGACTCAGATGAGACCTCGCCATGCCTGGGGGGACTGCGAACTGCGAAACTCTTGCCCAACGCAATGCGTCCCTGCGGGGACTCCGTTTCGACCTCGCCATCCCTGGGAGGGTCGCGGACTGCGAAATCGCGGACTTACGGGGAGTCGTATTAAATGTTGAACATCGCCATGTCTGGGGAGGCTGTGAAGTGCGAAGCGGTCGCCACTTTTGAAGGGCGCTGGGAAGCCCAGCGGGCCTACGGGGACCCAGATTTGACCTCGCCATTCTGGGGGGCTGCGAACTACGAAGCTGTCGCCACGTTCGAGGGCTGCTGAGGGGCCCAGTGCAGTGCGGGCATACGAGGACTCATGCTCGACTGCGCCATGCCTGCGGGGCTGCGAACTGCGAGTCTTTCGCCACTTTCTAAGGCTGCTAGGCGGGGGGCAGCACAGCAACGTCTTACGGCGATCCAGACTAGACATCGACATGCCTGCGGGATTACGAAAAGGGAAACAGGTTTCAATTTCGAAGGCTGCTAGGGGGGGGGGGGGGGCAGCCCACAAACGACCTACAGGACTCAGACTGGACCTCGCCATCCCTGGGACGAAGCAAACTAGGAAACTCCCACTGACATTCGCCGCTTTCGAGGGCTGCACGGGTGGGACGCCACAGTTGTCTTTCGCCAGGCCTGGGGGGATACGAACTGCGAAGCCGCCGCCGCTTTCGACAGCTGCGGGGGACGCAGGGAGGGGGCAGCGTAGTGACGTCCTACGGGGATTCAGATGCAACCATCCAAGTGAGGCTGCAACCAGCGAAACCATCGCCATCTTCGAAGGCTGTTTTAGGGGAGGCAGCGCAATTACGCCCTACGGCGATTCAGAAAAGATCTCGCCGTCCCTGGGGGCCTGCGAACTACGAAACCGTCGCCACGTACGACTGCTGCTGGGAGGCCCACCACAGTGACGCCCCCCCAGGGATTCCGATCAGACCTCGCCATCCTTGGGGGGCTGCGAACTGTGCAACTGACATCACCCTTGACGGCTGCTGGGTGAGGAACACTCTGACGACGTACGGAGATTCAAATGATAATTCGCCATCCCTGTGGGGCTGTGCCCTGCGAGAATGTCACCACTTTCGAGCGCTGCTTGTGGGGGGGCCTGCGCAATGATGCTCCACGGCGGATGAGGAGGAGGACGAGGAGGAGGATTTGAACGAGGACGGGAAAAGGTCGGTGCCCCTGCTGTAGTTTTCACAGCGATGCCCTCCTAAAGTTAAGCTACTTCCATCATGCCATTGTCCTTCGATCGGTGCCTCGTGAATCCACAAAATCATGTTACTGTCGATTGCCCATGTTATCACCCCTTAAACCATCACAGCTTATATGGCCGCTTGTTGTGCTAGGGTTGGGTACGTCGCCAAGGTGCGTTCTTCCTCTTCCCTTCCTGTTCTGCCCCCAGGGGACGCGCGACGACGACGACGTCCCCAGAGGCATTGCAAACATATGTTTCCGTCGCACCGCGGCAGGAGCCAGTCCACACGCGCGCCTGGGCGGGCCGGGAAACGGCAGGCGCGAATTATCTTGCGGCAAGGGCGGGAGAAAAAGAGAGGGAGGCGACGGCCGCGGGACGGGGGGGGGGGAGGAAGAGCAGCAGACTCCAGAAAATGGAGGAGCTGCGGCTTCAGAACAAAAGGGCAAACCGCTGGCACGCGCGCCCCGGCCCCGCCGCGAGGGAGCGGCCCTGGAGCAGGACGAGCAGGGCACCAGGCGCGGGACACGCGGTCGCGCTGGGACGCGAAGGGGGCTACGACACGATTGGCTTGGACGGACGCTCCAGGACTTCTGGAGCAATCACCAGCCCTCGCTTCTGTGGCCCGCGTGTGCCCCTGCTTGAATCCTTCCCTGGGCAACGGCCGTTTCCCGGGGGGGATGAATCGGGCGGGAGGGCAACCGGGATAATGGTAACGGCGGCCGCGGCGGGCACCCGCCAGGGTGCGTCCGCGCCACTGGCGCATCAATCGCCCGTGGGCATCACAATCGCTGTGTACGGTCGAGCCCCCCTCCCCCAGTAAGATCGTCAACGTTACTCTGGGGAGAGGGAAGGTTTGGCCCGGGTAACGAGCGTGAGGGAAAAACGTATCCAGCTGTCCAGGAGGAACCTGGATGGCCTGAGGCGTATCGTCATCATGACCTCTTTCTTGGGCAAGCCGCGGAGACAAAGCTCGTCACATCAGTCTTGGCGGGTTTATCGCCCGCCTACTTCGTCGCACACGAAGAGGCCTCAAGGTGGTGGTTAAGAGAGCGCGCCTCTACCCAGGCAAGCATCGCGTCCACCTCGTCCCCTGATCCCCTCCATCTTCCTCACTGTGTGACTCGCCCACCTGTTGCATCGCCTTCCCCTCCTTTCCTTTCGGGGCTCCGATGTTCCACAGCAGGCTTGCCTGCAGGAGAGCCTCTTATGCTACGCGAGTGATGTCGAGGATGCGCTCGCGAGCACTGAAGCCGAAAAGGTCAGGAGAGTCATGTGGCACCCCCACCCCCAGCTACCCCGCCACGGTTCTCACGACCTCCTGCTCCGCCTGCCGCTGCCCGCCGTGTGCTCCTCCTCGATGTTCTCCATGTCGATGCCCTCGCCGACGCCGGGGACGACGTAGTCCACCTCGAAAGCGCGAGGGCCCGGCGCCAGGGGCGGCGCCGCGGGTGGGCACGGGGAAGAGGAGGGACTGCCACAGGCCCAAAACGGCAGAACGATGACGATGACGATGACGATGACGCCTCAGCATTCAACAAGCATCGTCATCGTCATCGTCGTCGTCATCAACATAGCGCTCCACGATCGCGCGCGGGGAAGCAGAGGACCCGAGCCTCTGCTCAGCAGCAGTGCCTCCTTGGCTCGCACCCAGCAGGGCAGAGGCTGAGAGCCCAACCATGCCCTGACCCACTGGCCAACAAAGGAGGGGAGGGAGAGGGGCGGGGAGGAGACGAGAAGCGAGGGTATGAGAAGAGCGAGGAGACGAGGAGGGGGAGGAGACGAAGAGAGGAGAGGAGAGGAGAGGAGAGGAGAGGAGAGGAGAGGAGAGGAGAGAAGAGGAGAGGAAAGGAATGAGAGAAGATATCCATCCCGCCCCCATCTCTTTCCATTGCGCAGTGTTCTCTATCCGCGGACGCGTGTCACATCCGATTTGGAACTCCTTCACCCCAGCAAAGCACCCCAAGATCATCAACGGTGATCAGTGGGACCTGTGGGGCAGGTGGGAGCTGGAGACTTGTGCGACCTGTTGGACCTGCGGAACTTGTGGCACTTCTGTGGCACTTCTGTGGCACTTCTGTGGGATCTGCGGGGCAGGTGGGAACTGTGGAACTGTGGGAACTGTGGGACTTGTGGATGCTGTACGACCTGGGGGGAGCTCTGTGGCCTCTTGGGCCTGTGAGATCTGCGACGCCTGTGGGACCTGTGGGACCTGGGGGAACTGTGGGTCCTCCGTGACCTGCGAGACCTGTGAGACCTGTGGGACCGGTATGACGGCTTCCCTTGCTCGCTATTGCACTGCATGCTGCTCCACATACCTGATCGCGGAAAGTGGCCTGGGTATCCATCGTTTCAGGATGGGCTGGTGGAACTACTTTTTGGTCGCAACCGCAGGCGAAGGCGCCGGCGGCGTCACAAGTCAGCTCGGGCTACGAGCAGAACTAATTGACCTAGCGCGCGCACAGGCGGCTGCAGGTCTATCGCCGGGGGAAGCTGGGCTGCGCCGAGGGCTGAGGGAGGCTGGTGGAGTTACGCGAAGCGTCTAGAGCATTCATCACGGAAAACTGCTGACAAGAGAGAAGCGGGAACGAAAAGAGAGGAGAGGATAGTCGGGAAAAGAGGAGACGAGACAAGAAAAAGAGAAGATAGCGGAGAGTACAAGAGGAATGCGAGACAAAGAGAAAGAGAGAAATGCAATCAAGAAAGAGAGAAAGGAGAGGACGATGGGGAGGCGAGGAAGGAGAAGAAAGAGAGAAAGGAGAGGAGACGAGGGAGGATCGGGGATGGAGGCTACGAGGACGAGGGCAGCTCTCCCTGGAGACAAAATGCCCGGGCTCAAACTCGAAGGATGAGAAGGAGGAGGAGGACGACGAGGAGGAGGAAGGGGCGGAGTGAGGGAGGGAAGGGGCGAGAAGGATGAGGGAAAAGGGTGGCGACGAACGGAAGTGGACGGGGAGAGAAGGAGGAGAGAGAAGTCCGTCCCTTCCTTCCCCCCCTTTCCCGTCGTCGCCGCCCTCGTGGCGTCGCCTCTCCCCGCCACTGGGCCCAGCAACGCTGGCAAAACTAACGCGCCAGCGCTTGCAACAACAGGACAGCCTCGTGGTGTTCTTCTGCCGGGGGCGGCCAACAGGGGCGTCCAAGAAGGGGTGTTTTTAAAATCATGGCCCCGAGCATGCGCGAAGACGACACGGGAACCGAGGGATGCACTGCAGGAAGAACGAAGAGAATATGAGTTACTCTTCAACCTCAACCAGAATCTAATGCAGGTGACGCAGGAGCATCAACTGCAAACAACCAGCGAACGGCGCGCCACCTGGACACGGGGGCACCCCCTTGAGGACAGCAACGGAGAGGCGTCGGGTGGCGCACAGACCAAGAAGGTCTGACCTGACGGGCTCGTGGCCTTAGGTGGACGAGTCAACGGCCCACCAGACGGGCCGAGAACCCAACCAAAATGCAAGGAATGGGGAAGTAGTCCGAGTCCGACCTGGGTATTCTTCGTCTGGCTCAGCTCTGGACCAAAAGGGCGGACATCCTCCTCCTCCCTGAAGGCGTCAAGCGCCGTCCTGTGCTGAGCACCGCGCGCGGAGAAATACCAACCTCCCCCCTCCGCCTCTAGCCCTCGGAGCTGACTGCCACGGGGCACCGATGGGAGAAAGGTGAACAGGAGTGTGGCTCGAGGTCCAGGTCAGAGAGGTCCTGACTGGACCCAACTGAAAGCCAACTCCTCGTGGGGTGACGACCTCCGCTCACGACTGGCCAGACCAGGCCTCCGCTCACGACTGGTGCCCCGAAGCGCGCGACTCGTGCTGGGCCCCTTTTCCACCACCACTGCCACAGGTAGGAGAGAGAGGCAGAGGAGGAAGAGGAGGAGGAGCAGCAGCAGCAGCAGCAGGCGCAGAAGAAAGGACCTCCTTATCCTCCCTTTCTCCCCCGTCCTACATATGGTGGTGGTGGTGGAGATTTGCCCACCAATGCGCGCATGAGTCTACAGCGAAAGCCGCACGCCTTCGCAGACCTGACACGAGCGCCCCGGCCCCGCCCGGGCACCCCGGATCGACGCACCGGCACCGAGAATCAATCTCGTCCAAGAGGAGGTCTGAGGCTCCCAACTAAAAGACACGAACATGAAACAACTCGCAATCTCGTACAAATCAAGGGGAGGTCTGAGGCTCCCAACTCAAAAGGGGAGATCTGAGGCTCCCAACTCGCAATCTCGTACAAGGAAAACGACCATGAGCCTTGGGCCACCTCTCGCGCGCAACCTCCAGACAGCACGAGAGTCTGCAGAAGGTTCCGAAGGGTCCCCACGAGTGAGCAAAACCAGGAAGAGGCCCTAGCCGGCTTTCAAGGCGGCGCGTCTTCGGCCCCACCAAACTCCCTGAGAGGCTAACAGCGCGGCAGAAGATGCATCGCAGGAACACAACACGCACGGGCGCAAGCAACGTCAGCGACCAAACGATCCTCAAAGTTTGCCGACCTCCAACATCCGAACACGCATCGGAAAGCCATGAGAAAGGGGTGCCGCCAAAGCTCGTGACCACATTCTCGCAGTCGGAGACCACGGATCAGGGGCCAAACATAAGCTGGGTGGCATTCAAGAAAGCGCAGAACTCGCCAGCATGGGGACATACGAGACCAAACAAGGCCTGACGCGGCGGCAAGCCGAGTCTGATCCGCTGAGTACACGATTGCACTCCACGCGGCCCCAGGAAGCTCTCACGCGGGCCTGCGCGCGCGAGACCCGCCCGCGAAAACCAATCCTTCAAAAAGCCTCTGGCTCGGGGGGGGGATGCCAAACAACCGGAAAAAAATCATCACCCATATGGACGGGGTGGAGGGGGCGCGTCATCAAGACGGGGCGCGCCACCGTGAGGCGACCAGAAACAACCCGGCCGAGCTTGCGAGCTCCCAACGTAATCCATCCACCCGCCCAGGAGCCCAGCGTCCACGATATCTCCCCTCTCCCAGAAGGAGCGCATTCCCAGACCGACTGACAAATGGCATAAGGCTCGGAAGCCCCTCCGCCTTCTGAGTGGTCCATCCTGGCCCTCCCTCCTCCTCCCTCCCTCCTCCTCCTCCTCCTCCTCCTCCTCCTCCTCCTCCTCCTCCTCCTCCTCCTCCTCCTCCTCCTCCTCCTCCTCCTCCTCCTCCTCAGCTTCCCCATCCGTTGAGTATACGGGCTGGGGGGTCCGCTCTGCAAAACACCCCAAACGGACGTCCACGGGCGCAACCAACCTGTTCGGTCAAGCCGAAGCTGATGCACCACACCCGACGTCAAGCCAAAACTCTGGACACGAGCGAATGTTCGGCGAGGCGTTTGGCCACCCTTCTGCTGGTCCTGCAGAAGCAAGCGCTCTCTGACCCTCGGCCCTGGCCCGCTAGGGGGGGGCGGGAGGGAATGGCCGCGGCGCCGCCCCCGCTCGGAAAAATCCGCTCCCGGACCCGCCCCCCCCCCCCCCCGTAGGACCCGCCGTTCGTGCGATTACAACCAGGTGCCGTTCTTTAGCTTCACAACGGTACTGAGTGCCTTCACTATTTCCCCCGTGCAGTGTATTTCAACACCACCAGAATCAAATCCAATCCTCAATCCCCACACCCAAAACCAACTGGACCCGCCCCCCCCCCCCCCCTCGGGCCCCGCCCAGCCCGCACTTCTCGGGGCGGCCCCCCCCCGGCCCCGCGGCGACGGGAGGCCCCCCCCGGGGAGCGGCCCGCAGGCGGCGCGCCCGGGGGGGGAAGCGAGGAGGGGCGGGGGCCTCCGCGGCAGGGGCTCAGGAGACGGGGGTCCGGGCAGACGGGGGTCCGTCAGAGAGCTGGACCTTGCAGGATCCAGCAAGAGCCAGGGTTGCACTGGCCCGGGCTCGGGAGCAAGATCCTGCAAGATCTTGCCGGAGCCTGCAAAGCCTGGCTGACCCGGGTCTGGATTGACTCGGGCCAATCGGTCCCCGACTCAGGAGGCTTGGAAGTCCCCTGGCCCTTCTGAGAAATGCTCTGAGCCTTCCTCGAAGACGCAGAGAGCCTGTCAGAAGGCTGGAGAGGCCTTCTGAAAAGCCCCGCCGCCATCTGAGAAGGCCTCCCCCTTACCAGGAGAGCCCAGAATCGAATCGATAAGTCGGATCGGCGATCGAACTGAATCGGATCGGCGGAAATCGGCAGCGAGTCGGGAAGTCGGATCGGCGGAAACCGGCAGGCCAGTAGGCCTGCGATAAGAAATCAGAGCCCAAAGCGGAATCCAAAGTCGAATCGAATCGGAATCGGATGAGGTCGAAATCGAATCGAATCGAATAGGAGGAATCAACACGCGCCCTGCCTTACTCGCGGCCGAGGCCGCCGTTTTCTCGGCTGGACCGACGCACGCGACGCGGGGGGCCCGCACCCACTCGTGGGCACGAAGCCCCGGCGAGGCGAGGCTGGGCCCCGAGAGCGAGGGTGGGGCCTGCCCGGGAACAACCCCAAAGCAGAGTGTGGTTCTCTTCGTCCTCTTCATCCTCCTCTTCTTTGTCTTATTGTTCTTCCTCCTCCTCCCCCTCTTCCTTCTCCTCCTACTCCTCCTCCTCCTCCTCCTCCCCCTCCTCCTCCTCCTCCCCCTCCTCATCATGCTCGTCCTCCTCCTCCTCCCCCTCCTCCTCCTCCTCCGCCTTCTCATCCTCCTTATCCTCATGCTCATCCTCCTCCCCTCCTCCGCCTCCGTCTCCTCGTCCTCGTCCTCGTCCTCCTCCTCGTCCTCCTCCTCCTTCTCGTCCTCCTCCTCCTCTCTCTCTCCTCCTCCTCCTCCTCCTCCTCCTCCTCCTCCTCCTCCTCCTCCTCCTCCTCCTCCTCCTCCTCCTCCTCCTCCTCCTCTCCTCCTCTCTTCCTCTTCCTCCTCTTTCCTCCTGCTCCCCATCCCTCTCCCACGCCTCCTCCTCTTCTTCCCCCGCACCTCTCCCTCCCCATCCGCCTCCCAACCCTCCTCCTCTTCCTCCACCTCCCCCTCCCCCTCCCCCTCCCCTCCCCTCCGCCTCCCCCCCCCTCCCGCCTTCTCTCCTCTCTCCTCCTCCTCCTCTCATCCTGCTCTCCTCCTCCTCCTCCTCCTCCTCCTCCTCTCTCCTCCTCCTCCTCCCTCCCCTCCTACGCTTCCTCCCCCCCCGACTCTCTCGACTTACTCTTCCTTTTCCTCCTTCTCCTCATCCTCCTCCCTCTCATCCTCGCCTCCTCCTCCTCCTCTTCCTCCTCCTCCTCGTCCTCCCCCTCCCCCTCTTCCCAAGGATGCTGCCCAAGGTGCCCCTGACCCGAGGTGCCCCCAGGACATCAAGGAAGCCCCCCCACGGCCACCAGGGTCAGAGCTCTCTTCACGAGGCCCCCAGGGGATCCCGAGGGCCCAGACGTTGCGCGAGAGCGAAAGGGCCATCTTGGACCAGGGTCGCCTCTGGCAACACCCGACCCCGCAGTTTTGGCAACACCCGACCCAGTACCCAACTAGCCCCCGTGCGGGTGTACCCCCGAACTCCCCCTTCCCATACGCCCCGATTCGATGGTTGTTGGGCGGTGCCCAGGGATTGGGAGCGAGAAATCGCCTGCAAGACAGTCGGGCAACCCAGTCTCATCCGAGGAGTCTGAGGAGACACGGCGGGCACCAGTAATGGCACGCAGCTGATGGGCAATACATGCATGCCCGATGAAGTGATGCATGACATGTGCAGGGGTGATGTAAGCACAGTGTGCGCACTAAACGCGCTCGTGGCACACACACACACACCACAACAACAACAACAACAACAACAACAACAACAACAACAACAACAACAACAGCAGCAGCAGCAGCAGCAGCAGCAACCACCACCACCACCACCACCACAACAACAACAACAACAACAACAACAACAACAACAACAACAACAACAACAACAACAACAACAACAGCAACAACACTAACAACAACAACAACAACAACAACAACAACAACAACAACAACAACAACAACAGCAGCAGCAACAACAACAACAACAACAACACCAACAACAACAACAGCAGCAGCAACAGCAGCAGCAGCAACAAAAACGGGGCCGAGCGGGCACGGCAAGGACACCGACCAAGGGGGCCGACACCGACGAGGAGGCCGAGCGCCAAGGGCCGCAGGGAGACGAGGAGGAGAGAAGACCACTGTGAGCAGGAGGGGGGGGGGACAGATTGGCAGGGAGAAATCTGGAATCTGGGATCCACCGTCGGGGTCCTCCACGGGACTCTGCTGCCACCAAACAACCATCCACTACATCAACTCCAGGGCAACGCCATGGATTCCATGACCTGGATACTGCGGCCGCGCACAACGCGGGACAGCCCGTATCGGGCAGATCTGTCCTTATGTGCGGGGCGTCTCGCTTCTCGAGATCCCCCCTTTACCCCTACTCGGTGTTATTTGAGGCAAACTGAGAGGATGAGGGGGGAGGTGTGTGGCAGGAGTCAGCATAGGATGCATCAACAACGCTGCACTGTTCGTGCCTGTCACATGCCCCTGCAAAAACGCCCTGTCACTGCGGAGGGCACTCCAAAACGCCACACTGACTTGCCTATGACCTTGCACTCGTAAAGCGGCTGGGCATTTGCAATTGTTGGACCAACTAATTCGAGAATGCCTTAAAAGAAACACCAAACTCAAACAAGGCTATCCCTGCATCCATGGGACTCTTTCACGTGTTGTGGGTTCGTGGCGTGAAATCAAAGAGCGTCTGAAATGGGTCCCGCTTTAAAAATAACACTGTTACCAATGCATGCAACTGCTGCGAAATGTTAGAAAAGGATGTGCGTCGCGCTGAAGAGACATCCACATTCTGAGAACAGCCTTAAGCCAACCCCATCGGTCCGTAAGGTTGAGGAACTGATAGGACGAACGTGCACCGCGCTGAAGCACGAGCCAAACTTGGAAAATGGTCTAATCTCCGTCCATGCAACTCTTGGAGACGAAGGCGGATGTGCGCGGGAACAGGGCGAGACCCACATTTGAAAATAAGCACTCGTACAGCTGCGCAATCGCTGGAAATCTCAAACAAATTGCGATCGCCTGGCCCAGAAAATCAGCACGTCTGGTGGTGATGTGACAAGAAAGATCGTATAACACAATGTAAGGAAGACAGGTGTAGGGAATAAGCGATGAGGCAAGACGGAGGCGCTTTACAAGCGGGGCAGCATGAAGACACGTACGAGGAGAAGGAACCGAGAAACATGACATGTGGCGGAAGATGCAAACACCTCGATGTCGTCGTCGATCTCCTCTTTTTTTTGCGCAGCCGCCTTCGGGGCCGCGGCTTTGCCCTTACCTTTGCCCTTGCCCTTGATGATCTTGCCGCCCTTACCTTTTACAATCTTCCCTTCCGCGAGGTCCTTCTTGAACTCCTCTTCCTTGACGGCCTTTTTCTTCTCCTTCTGCTTCTTCTTCTTGTCGGCCTTTCTCTTTCTCTCCTCCGCCTCCTTGTCCTCCGGCGCTGCCCGATCGGGCAGAAAACGAGCAGGCTAGAAGAAAAAAAACGGAAGAGGATGCAGGCTGGCTCAGGTTAGCAACATTATCCTCCTCCTCCTCCTTCACCCCTGTCCTCCCGTCTCCAGCTTCAATATCATCCCCCTGATGTCTCCTCCTCCCTCAATCCCTTTTCCTTAGAAAGAACTGCTCCCCGTCGCACCCCCAGGCGTGTCGCTAGGGCAGGCCGGGCGTCTCGCCTGAGACGCCCTCACCATCTCGCCTGAGCCCGGCGCACATTCGCTTTCAAAGTTCGTGACAGCTTCAAGGACGAAGAAGAGGGATGCAAATGTGGCTACCGCCTTAGCGGCGCCCGCATTCTTCGTAAAACCTTGCAGCAGCTTCACGGATGGAGGGGGCTCGTTTTAAAGATGTGGCTCTCGCCTTAGCGCAACAACAACAACAATTGTTGTAAAAGCTTGAACCGGCTTCACGGATGGACGGGGGTCATTTTCAACATTGGGCTCTCGCCTGAGCGCCGCGCACATTCGCTGTAAAATTGAAAACACCTTCATGGGTGGAAGAGGTCGTCTTGAAAATGTTGCTCTCGCCTGAGCGTCGAGCGCATTCGTGCTGAAGCGTGAAACGCTTCAAGGATGGAGGGCGCCTCTTTCCAGAATTGGGCTCGCGCCGTAGTGCTGCGCACACTCACCCCAACGCCAAGTTCTCCTCCCCCTCCTCCACCTCCTCCTCATCCTCGTTCTCCTCGTCCTCGTCCTCCTCCTCCTCCTCCTCGCCCTCCTCGTCCTCGTCCTCCTCCTCCTCCTCGTCCTCCTCCTCCTCCTCCTCCACCTCCTCCTCCTCCTCAACCACTTGAAGGATGGAGGGCGGCCTCTTTCCAAACTTAGACTCTCGCCGTGGCGCCGCGCGGAAGCACCCTAAAATTATGTAACAGCTTCAGGGATGGAGGTCTGCTCCTTTCCAACAGTGGTCTCTCGCCTTGGCTTGGCGCACGCTCGACCTAGAAGCTCGCAACAGATACAAGGATTTTGTGGGCGGTGCCTATTCAAGGTGCGGTTTTGACTGAAGAGACAAGCGTGAACATACGCAACAGCTTCATGGATGAAGTGCGGCTCCTTTCCATAATTGAGAAAACGCTTGAGATGTCCTCAAACAATGCATGCACTTAGGAACTCTTACTGCGCTTCTAAAGTATTGGGCCCGTTGGCGGCCCCAGAGGCCCTGTTCCGTCCGTCGCCGCACCGTTTTGTCCCCATGGAAGGCCCGGTTGCAGCAACAGCGGCCCCGTTGCACCCCCCCCCTCCGCGATGCATTTCAATCGCATTGCATTACAATCGCATTACATTGAATTGCAATCGCATAGGATTGCGTTGCTTAACATTGCGTTGCATTGCGTTGCAACGCACTGCATTGCTTTGCAATGCTCAACACAACCACTGATATTGACGCCAAATCCGCTTGCCAACGCAATAACCTGGGCGTTATCATCTGCACACTTCGGCTTGGAACCCACACCGATCGAGGTCGCAGTGGGTACGCTGATGCTGAGGACGACTGCAACCGCAGACCACACGGTCAAAGGCGCCATCTGGACCGCCATCCCATGGAACAGAAAGGAAAGGACGCGCAACCGAAAGTTTTCGCGTGTGTGTGTGTGGTGAAGTGACGGCCAAAATGGAAGCTGCACCAAGTCTGCCTGAAGCGGGATGCCTCAAACAGGATGCATGAAGTTTCACGAATCCCGACACCCTTCTGTGCGTAGATGGTTTCACGGATTGTGTCTTCCCTCTCCCCCTCTCTGCCCACACCCCTCCTTCCCCTCCATACGAACACACTCTGCCTGGAGAGTTCACAACCAACCCGATGCGCCCCCCCACACCATCCATGTTACAACATCAATACAACATACAATTTGGGGCAAAGTCCGGAGTCCTGTTCGCGAGGCTCGCGAGCACTTTTTTTCGACTGGGACGGCGGGGGTGTCAGAATATTGCCTGCTGCGCGCAGGGCTACCATCCCTGCCCAAGAAAAACATACGAAACGCACTCTGCCTCCACATTTGGATCATGCGCTACCAACGCGGTGCGCCCCCCCCCAAGCATCCCTTTCAAACAACAATACAAAGTACACACATTGGGGCCAAGTCTCGAGTCATGTTCGTGAGGCCCGCCAGCACTTTGCATTGTTTCTGACACGGGCGGCGGGGGTGTCAGCATCTTCCCTGCTGTACGCAGGGCTACCATCCCTTACAAAAAATCATACAACATGCACTTCGCAGCCAAATCTGGATCATGCGCGGTCACCCTGCGATAACTCCCAAGTGGTTTTTGACAGGGACGGCGCACCTCGCCTCAACGTCGTGCATCTGTGGTCGACTGTGTGTCCCAGTAACTGTCCACCCAGGCACGACAGCTGAACGTGCTGAGGCTCGGGTGTTACTTATGTTGTGTCTTGGGAGGGCTGGTGGGAGTGAGCCCGGCGGTTTGCTGTCTAGGGGGGTGTCGTGAGCACTGCTCCCTACTAATATACACGCCCTCGCCCAGGTGACTGGCAGCCAACCAGGAACGATGAGGAGCCCAATGAGGGACCCGGCAAGCACCCTTTTCAAAAACCCGTACGGACACACACCCTGCCTGGAGAATTCACAACCAAGCCGGTGCGCCCCCCACCCCGCACCATCCCCCTCTCTGCCCACACCCCTCCTTCCCCTCCATACGAACACACTCTGCCTGGAGAGTTCACAACCCGATGCGCCCCCCCCCCCCCCACACCATCCCTGCAACAACAATAATACAACATACAATTTGGGGCAAAGTCCGGAGTCCTGTTCGCGAGGCTCGCGAGCACATTGTACTTTTTGTTGACAGGGACGGCGGAGGTGCGAGAATATTGCCTGCAGCGCGCAGGGCTACCATCCCTGTCAAAAAAAACATACGAAACGCACTCTGCCTCCACATTTGGATCACGCGCGACCATCACGGTGCGCCCCCCTGGCAAGCATCCCTTTCAAAGAACGATACAAAGTACACACATTGGGGCCAAGTCTTGAGTCATGTTCGTGAGGCCCGCCAACACTTTTCATTGTTTCTGACACGGGCGGCGGGGGTGTCAGCATATTCCCTGTTGTGCGCAGGGCTACCACCCCTCACAAAAGGAAGAATACAGAATGCACTTCGCAGCCAAATCTGGATCATGCGCGGCCACCCTGCGATCACTGGCAAGGGGATTTCGCCAGGGACGGCGGGGTTGGTGGCGCGTGGCCTGCTTTGCGCAGGCTCACCAGACACACAGATGGGCATTGGTTTTCGATAGGGCTGGCGGGGGTCGACCTCTTTCCCAATGTGTGCTGTCACGTGCGCGAGCGCACCTGGCACACGCGGAGGCACGCGGTGCATCTGGCGCGCGTGGACCTCGCAGATAAATGTGGATCATGCGCGGCCGCACCGCGATCACTGGCAAATGGATTTCGCCAGGGACGGCGGGATTGGTGGCGCGTGGCCTGCTTTGCGCAGGCTCACCAGACACACAAATGGGCATTGGTTTTCGATCGGGATGGCGGGGTTCGCTTCCCGATGTGCTGTCGCGTGTGCAGGCGCACCCGACGCACTCTGCACGTGCTCCTAACGTGGCGCACCTGGCGAGGCTGGAGTGTGCGGCACACGTGGCGCAATCGGAGCACGTGGCACATCTGGCACACCAAGCGTGCCTGGCACGCTCAGGCCCTGGAGGTGCCCGGCGCGCGTGGCGCCTCTGACACGCGTGGCGCACCTCGCCCACGCGTCGCGCACCTGGGGTCGGCTTTGGTTCCCAGTGGTTGCCCACCCAAAGGCGACCGTTGAACATGCTGACGTCGGGAGGCCAGACGGCTTGCGGGCGGGCGGGTAGTTTGGCCCCTCCGCGCTAGAGCCCCCATGATCGCCCCAAATAGCTCCAGGAGGGCCTCAGAGACGCCAAGATGGTCTCCAAGATGACTCAATCGAACCCAAGATTGCCCAAGATAACCTCCGACGCACATCCAAAGGGCCCCAAAACGGCCCCAAGACGGTTGCACGCGCACTCCGAACCCTCCAAGGAACCCCAGTAGTGGCAAACATGGCATCGAAGTCTTCAGAAAATGCATGTTGTCGTTTCCGACGGGCTTCGGAGGCATGGCCCCAACACGGCCCACGAGAGCTTCAAGAGGGACCCAAGAAGGTTTTCCCCTACCCATTGATCGATTGGGCAAAGACTTATTTAGGTTGACGGGTTCTTGATGTTCTTGCACTTGATCTCCGCGCTCGTCATGCTCAAGGGAGGCCGTTAGGTCCGTTAGACCCCGGCTCACCGAAGGCCGCGTGACTTAGAGTGTCCGGTGCGCAGGGCATCTGTAGACAATGCGCATGTGTACGCGCGCCGGCCGGCCGAGAGGAAGCGAGGCCGCGCGCGCGCCTTATGCCTTGAGCAAGCACGCAACTGCGGGCGATCCCGCATCCGTCTCTCTACCCCTGCCAACCCTTTGTTGAAGGGTATTGTCACGGCAGCTTCAACAGGCGAGAGGTGCGTCAGTAATGACTCCCCCCGCGGCCTCCCAGCGCGGCATCGCCACGCCAGGGCGGCCGTCGGCGCACTGGCTGACGTCGCGAGCAAAATAAGTGGGGCGCGCCGAGCAGAACTCAGCAGGCCCCGAGAACGTCGGACAGACTTCACACCTTCCCCAAGGGCCGTTTCGGGCCCCCCACGGCGCCACAAAAAGTTGCAGGGCGCGCGCGGGAGGAAAGGGGGCATTCCTGCCACCGCTATGCGGGAATAGCCGAGGCCCACCCGGCGCGCCCCACCGTAAGAAACAATAGCGCTAGCGCGTACCGCCCAGCTCTCAACTCATGAGGCAGCCGACCTGTCGAAAACCTCGGCGCGCCAGCAGTCCGGGGGCATCGCCCCGTAACGTGCGTGGCCAGGTCGAAACGCCGTCGCGACGCTACCACCCTGACTGGTTGGTGCACCACCACTGACTGACTTCTGG